TAACAGCAGAAAGTTTGGAATTTAAACTCCATGGGGACAGGGGTTTTGTCTGTTTTGTTCATTGCCTGTACAGATAGTGCCTGGAACACCAGCAGTACTGCCTGGCAAATGGTAGGCACTCACTAAGTATTTTAGAACTGCTGAATTGACTATATTCCTGACACACTCCACTTGCGTTATATAATTTCAGTTTTATAGTTATCTTATTATTCTCTTCATTTATAGAGTGAGGCTTACGGAATTTAAGGTTCTATAAATAGCGCACATAGGTTGATGTTATAAGGTTATAGAGTTAGACAGATATGGTCATGTCAGTTAAGCCCGGGAAGGCCTGACTCCTTGACCTCTCAAACCATCCATAGGTTGTTAAAGCTTTAATTTTTGTCATCTGTCTCCCTAGACTTTTTCTCGGGTTGTTGTGGTGGGGAATAGCACTGGGCTAGGATTCAGTGTAGCTGCGCGAGCCCTGGCCTTTCCACTAGGCAGCTTCTGGGTGGCCGTTTGTGCCTCGGTTTCTTCAGACGTGTCAACAGTGAGTTCAGCCAAAGGATCCTGAGATCTGTTCTTGACTGAGAGTTGCATGTCAGGGCGGTTCCTGTACCTTGGTGTGAATCTTTCTGTTGCTGTCATGTTCCATGTATGAAATAAGAACAGGCAGGCTGGGTGCGGTAGCTCGTGCCTGTAATCCTAGCACTTTGGGAGGCAGAGGTGGGTGGCTCACTTGAGGTCAGAGTTCGAAACTAGCCTGGGCAGCATGGCGAGACCCCATATCTACAAAAAATACAAAAATGAGCCAGATGTGGTGGTGCATGCCTGTAATCCCAGCTACTCAGGAGGCTGAGGTGGGAGGATCGCTCGAGCCCATAACGTTGAGGCTGCAGTGAGCCATGATTGTGCCACTGCACTCCAGCCTGGGCAACAGAGAAATACCTTGTCTTCAAAATAAAATAAGAACAGTCATATATCTTACATGCATGCATATGTATGTGTATATACATATATACACACAGGCAAACATATGTACACACCTTTTTTGTTTGTTTCCATTTTTCTCTTGCCAGTGACTCCAAGCATTTGTAGGAGAGGCTGAGTGTCCTTGCTCACATCAAGCTCAAGGGTGAGAAATGTTTTTGGAAACAGTCCTCATTCTGAATAACTCACCATGCATCTCATTTATGAATTAGACTGAAGCCTTCTTTCTTTCTTTTTGTTTTTGTTTTTTTTGAGATGGAGTTTCACTCTTGTTGCCCAAGCTGGAGTACAATGGCGCGATCACAGCTCACTACAACCTCTGCCTCCTGGGTTCAAGTGATTCTCCTGCCTCAGCCTCCCGAGTAGCTGGGATTACAGGCATGCACCACCATGCCTGGCTAATTTTGTATTTTTAATGGAGACAGGATTTCTCCATGTTGGTCAGGCTGATCACCTCGGGTGATCCGCCTGCCTTGGCCTCCCAAAGTGCTGGGATTACAAGCGTGAGCCACCATGCCCGGCTGACTGAAGCCTTCTTAAACGGGTTTATGCTTTGCTTGGAACTCTCCTCAGCTACCTCCTGGTTCATGCCGTATTTGCAGCCTGCATGTGAGAGATGGAAGCAGAAGTTCCCCCGTGGGCACTCAGGACGCTACTGCGTGCAGACATGCCCCGTAGACTAAGACTCGTTTCTCTGGACACCCTCTAACTGCCGCGGGCAACTGTGACTTGTGATGGACTCCCATCAGCGAGGTGTAGATGCGTAGCAGCGTCGTCGTAGGCAGCTCCTGTAGCCACCTGTGTGGGTTACGTTGGAAGCTCTAAGATGACTAAGAATTGGCACACTGGGACATGCAGTCACAGTGATCTGGGAAAAGCACGGGCATGGATGCTATCTCGTTTGTTTTCTGTACAGGGGGGAGTGTGTTCTTAGAGTGAGACTAACTGAGAAGATCTTATCCAAGGCAGGGCCCAGACTCTGCCTCCCCCAAGAGCCCCTCAGTAAAGGCATCAGGATGAAGACTAGAAAAGTCTGTGTGTTTCTGCAGGGTTTAGTGCTGGGGGAGGAGCTAGGACTTGGGGGGAGGGGGAGTGTCTTCTTAAGAAAAGAAGTACAAAATCATGAATGCAAGATGAAGTATGGGAGTGACTGCTTGTTTAGTATGAGAAATAAATCACAAAAGAGCAAATCTTAAAAAACTGAAAATGTGGCAGAATCTCGAAAAATAAGCTGATTGTTAGTTGGTTGCCTGACACATCTGTTTTCCTGCATGTTTGTTTGCACAGGAAGGTAATTCAGTCATTCCTTTAGCCTGGGTCATGGAAAGTGGTTGTTTATTCCTGATGGCTGGGTCCACAAAATACCTGGCCTCACGCACTATCCAGCTTCCCCTCTGCAGTCTGCACAAGGCTGCAGGCCCACGACGCTGCCCAGGCAAAGAAGCTTGGGGGCTGGGATGTGGCCACCTGAGATGGGAGGGGCAGTGGCAGCATCTTCCCCTGCCCAGGAAGAGCAAAAGCACCATAGTTCTGCACATTCTGGAAGCCCACATGGACACAGGGTCCCCAGGGCTCTGGAAGGGCCAGCGCAGGCCAGGGACCCTGAGGCCTCACCTGCGTCAAGCAAATCCACCTCTGTTTAGGACCCTGTCTGCTACGATAATTGTCTTTGTTGTGTGAGTAGTTGATACTTCTCTGTTAACGTTTTTATTTTATTTTATTTTGATTAAAATCTCAGGGGAGCCTCAAATGCATTTCTTAAGAAATTATATAATGATTTCATTGTGGAAGAATACGGACACCTTGACCATGTGCTTGGTTTAATTTGCAAAATTAAATTTTTGTTTTAAACTCTTGGTTATGAAAACATCCTTACCCTCTTGAACATATCTCCTTGAGTGAGATTAAAGTCCCAGTCCTTTGTTTTTTTAAGAGACTGGATCTGGCTCTGTTGTCCAGGATGGAATGCAGTGGCGTAATCATGGCTCACTGCAGCCTTGAACTCCTGTGCTCAAGGAATCCTCCCACATCGGCCTCACATGTAGCTGGGACTACAGATGTGTCCTACCACACTCAGCTAATTTTTAAATTTTGTTTTGTAGAGGCGGAGTCTTGCTCTATTGCCCAGGTTGGTTTCAAACTCCTGATCTCAAGCCATTCTCCTTTCTCGGCCTCCCAAAGTGTTGGGATTATAGACATGAGCCACCATGCCTGGTCCCCTTTTTTTCTAAAGGATTTTAGGTTTCTTCTCCTCTAATAGGGCATGTACATTTATTTTGGAAGCAGTGAACTCAAAGCGTTGAATACGAGGAGGCACCTGATGGGTGCTGGGGGCAGCCCAGCATGCTTCCACCATTTCGGGAAAACTCTATTTCTTGATGTTTTTAACATGTGTGGCAGGGTTGTGGTCATTTGTTTCCCTGCTTTTGTTGAATGTGATGAATATGGTAAAAATAGGATTAAAGTGTTTGATGTCCCCTCCTTAAGCCCAGTGATAGAATTTATCCTTCAAAGATAAATTATGACCTTTTAACCTTAGGGAATATAACTATCCTTGAAAAGTTTAACGTCTTAAAAAGTCAATTGTAGTTTTAACAAGCAAAGCTAAAATTTGCTTACCGTTGACTAAGTACGGATTTAGTTTTAAAGGCTGCCCTCTCTCTCTCTTACACATGGTTTAGGATGTCAATTTCTCCCTGAAAGTGATGTTTCTTAGAAATTTTAAGGATAGTAAATCTTACAAATTTTAAGGATAGTGAATCAGCTTTTAAAGAAAAAGGGCATTGCTCTTTTTTTTTCCTTTGGCCAAGCTTGACATTTTTGTGAGTTATACAGATAACGTGAAGTGTAGAATTTCTGGCTAGGGTCCTGTGAGTATCCAAAGGGTTGGGTTGCTTGTGTGCTGTGTCCTGCAGTGGGTCCTGCCCCCAGGTGCTCCACGAGCCTTTCCTTGCTGTGAACAGTTGAGATTTTATTATCTCAGTCCATGGGTTTCTCTCACCTGGAGCACACTCTTTCTCTCCACTTAACAGCAGTACAGGTTCCTGTTTCAACATTGTCTCAGCTGGTCCTCCTCCCCAATGGGGGCGCCCATGAGCACCTTCGATGCTTCTGGTTGGTCCCCCTCTTAGTTCTGTGCCTGTGACTGCGTGGACACTCCCTGCGCGAGGGTTTCCTCTTCTCCTGTACCATAAGGTACTTCAACAAAAGGATCCCATTGCACAATGTTGCAACCATTACAAAACACAAACCTACTCAATTTTGATCTTGAGAATCACTCAATAATTTTTAACAGCCAGTCAAACCTGCTATTTAGTTAAATGCATTCAGAACCGTGGCTCATTTGGGAGTGTTTGTCATTTGTAAGTGTGTGGTTTGGTGTAGGAAGATGAATTCACCTGCTGGGCTCTGGGGGCACCTGCTGGGGTACCTGTACCCCTGGCAGAGCCCTCATGACATCTTCTGGCCATCAGACAGTCATTTGCCTGTTGGCTGCTCCATGACAATTTTGTTTTCCATCATCAATCAACAGGTATTTATTGAGCACGTGCTGTTTTGGATGCTGGGAGCACAGTTTCAAACCAAACATGTTCCCATGGAAGTGGGTCGTCTCTCTAGTATGCACCCGAGTGCTCTGCAGCTTGTGGGGTCCAGAGTCCGGAGTGGGCAGGGGGTCTGCTCCTGCAGTCCTGGCATGTTTCTGGGAGTAGAGGAGCTGTGCTATCTCTCCCCTGTGAAAGCGGTTGGTAGCCTTGTTGTGAGCTTGCAATTCAGATGGCACCATAGGACTGGCTGGCTGGGGCCTGGCTGTCCTGTGCCATCTGGGTGGCCACTTGTTGCATTGCTGATGGGGGCGGGTAAGTCTCCCCTTCCACATATGGAGTCACGGGCCCGGGGTTGGCGGGGTGTGTGTCTGTGCCTGCAGGTGGGCAAGGAAGCCTGGGGAGAGAGTAGCTGTCTGTGGATGGGGAGGGCCATGCTGGCCATTTCATTCTGTAACTGGGCTACTAATGTTTATTCCATTTTGTTTATGGTTCTTTTAGCCAACTTCTTCCTTATTTAGTGAAATTCATAACAAATAAGTACAAATTAAAACCATAAACAAACCAGTAGTTAAAACAACAGACATTTATTCTCTCCCAGTGCTGAAGGCCAGAAGCCTGAGATCAAGGTGTTGGCAAGGCCAGCCTCCCTCTGAAGCCTCCAGAGGAGAATCCTTCCTCCCGTCTTCCAGCTCCTGGTAGCTCCCGGCAGTCCTGGGTGTCCTTGGCTTGTGGCGCATCACTCCAGTCCCTGCCTCGGTCTTCATGTGTCTGCCTTCTTGTCCGTGTGTCCTCTTCTCTGTCATAAGGTCACGAGTCCTTGGACTTAGGACCCATCCTGATCTAGTATGACCTCACCCTAGCTTAACTAATTATATCTGCAAAGACCCTATTTCCAAAAAAAGTCACATTGTGAGGTTCTGGGAGGCTATGAATTTTAGAGGATACTATTCAACCCATGACAGATACCAAAGGAGAAAATTATGTTATGTCCTGTCATTTGGGCAACAGCCTTTACTGAGGATGAGGTAGAGAAGTAACCCACTCTGAATCACAGATGTGCTCAGGAAACTTTGTCAACAAAACAGCCATTAATTTGGTTTGATAACCAATAGTTGTTGATAACCCAAGTTATCATTGATGATAATAAGCAACTAACAGAGTATCCTCTTGACCATGTGGTGTTTAGACTTTGGCCGTTGCTGGCCCCACGGTGACACAGGAAGGAACTGGCTGGTCCCAGTAGGGAGTTATCACACCTATAGGCGCTTACTCAGCAGCTGCAAGGAACCTATCACTTTACTAGGTGGGGAGGGTGGCACAGAAGAAAGGTCCCCAATTGCTTATCCTCAAGAAACTTGCACTATTGTGATTCCTTGGTACATGTGAAGCAAACAGAGGTCAGTAAATAGGTGGACCATTTGTCATTCTGAATACATTTCCATGAAATTTGGAAGCTCATTAGCAAAATATGTCTTTTGTTTGATTTGGGCATATTGATTTGGATATCATCTTCAAACAAAATGGTAGCTGATGTCTGCTACATTCATTGTAGACATCATATAGCTGAGAAGTTTTTCTGCATAGGGTCCAGTGTTTGTAGAGTAAATATCATTAGAGCTGTCGTTACTAGATTTGGTGATGACAGAGATGTGGGCAGTTCAGCAGTGAGCAGTGGTGACTTAAAGTGGGAGAGGATTGGGTGAAGGGTACTAGCTGATTGTTGCTTGGATTTTATGGCCTTAATGCATGGCATTTCCATAGCGTATACTTATTAGTTTGAAGCAGATCTGTTCCTAATATCCTTGGGTCCTGAGTCTTGAAATTCTTTGCTTTCCAGTTCTGTCTTCCTCCACCCCAAGAGGGGCCTCCTAGTGAGCGTGTGTTGCTCTATCCTGCGTGTTGCTCTGCTGTCCCTGAGGTGCACACACTGCGGGTACCGTGGTCCTGCAGGAGAACAGGTCCAGGGGATGGGGCTTGTGAGGTCTGGAGGTAGATCAGAGAGGTCCTGGGTGCAGATACCTAGAGCGCAGCCTGGGATGCAGCTGGGGCATGGCTGGCACCTTTCTGTGGGGTTCTGAGGCCAGTCGGGGACAAGAGGGGTACTGCAGGCTTACCTGGGCTGGCCCATTTTAACTCTTCCTGGACTTTTGTATCACCCCTGGGTAGGGTTGTTACTCACACCATAAAGTGGTGTAGCTCCCATGGTTTCCAGTTCATTCTTCCAACAGCCATTGTTGAGTGTCTGTCATATCCGAGGCATTCTCCTGGACATTTTGAGAAATGCAGTGATGAGCAGGATGGATCTTGCCCTCAGTGAGCTTGCAAGTCTTGCTGGGGAGAAAGACGCGTGTGTATACCTCTCTTAATGAAGTGGAAAGTGATAGTTGTTACGGGAACATTCCAGTTAACTTGTTATGGGGAGTCAAAACCCAGAAAGATGCTACTTGTCTGGGTGGGCTGTGGGATGGGGAAGATGAGGAGATCAGGGGCTTTGTGGAGCAGCGGCTTGTGTGTGGTTTGAAGGATGAATCAATGTGGATTTGTCATTGTAAGCAGCAGTTGGAAAAGGGTCCCCTCCTTGTGGCATTTGTTAGTGGATTCAGTAGGACTAGCTGAGTAATGTTAAGATTTGGGAGAATGACAGGCACCATGTATTTTCACCTGTAACATCAATCTTTTGACTTAGCAACCCTAAATTAGCCTGAGAGTCCAACATTTTTTTATGTACTATGTGTGTATAGTCCTCTTTTGAGTTTAACTTGGATAGCTTTGCCTTTCTTCAACATTATTAATAGGGTCTTGGTACAGACTTTTTAGTTATAACACAACATGTACGTCCTGAAGGAACAGGGCTTATGGAAAAAATAGAGCCGGGGCCGGGCTGCTCAAACTCCATGTAGCTTGGAAATAGTATAAAAAATCATAAAAAATACATGATACATTTCTAATACATAAAACAGTATTATGGTAAGTATGGGGCTTTATATTAGGAAAAAGATTGTTGGAAGGGGATGAGGTTGCTGGACTAGCTAGATCGGAGCAGGAAGGAGCAAGTGGAAAGCAGGTCGAAGATAGCATGGTGGAACTGCACTGTCAGGGGAACAGGCATTGTGCTCGGAGCTCTGGGTTCCCCTGCACCCCCAAAAATTCCAAGGCTGGTGACCTTTGCCGTCGGTGGCCCTTCCATGGTTGTGCCCCTTTTAACTCTTGCTGGACTTTTATATCACCCCTGGGTAAGGCTGTTATTCACACCATAAAGTGGTGTAGCTGCAATGGATTCTGGTTCCAACAGCGATTTTTGAGTGTCTGTCCTCTCTAAGACATTCTACTGGACATTTTGAGAAATGCAATAATTTCTTAAATGCAATGATTTCTCCGTGATGTGGCGCATTCCTATGCTGGAAAAACCATGTTTGAGCCCATGGTCTGTCACCTAGACTGATATGACAGTGGCCCTCTGTTGGCCAGTGGAGGAGGCGTTGGCCTGGTTACAGAGCCCGCCTTCTGGCAGGTAGACCAGGTCCGCCTTCTCCAGTGTGGTTGGGCCAGAACCCCAGGATGGTGAGCCTTTCTTTGTGGTTGTTGCTCTGCCAATCTTGAGTCAGTCCTTGCTTTTTCCTGGCAGAAAGTGTTTTGGGTATTCTGTGCTCTGAAGGCTCAGTGCAGCGTTGAGCTTCAGTTCCTCGTGTTTCCTGGGGGATGAGGTTCCCTGTGAGTCTCCTTGTTATGACTTGAGACAGTGGATAATAGTTACAAAAGCAGGTCTTGGTTTAGTGAGAGCTGGTTCAGGTGGCTGAAAAACACGACTGTTTGACCGACTTCCTTTCAAAGATTTATAATCCAGCCCTAAATATGTGAATGTTTCTCTCTTCGCTCTCTCCTCTCTTTCTTTCCACCTTCCCCCATCTCTCTCCCTTGTATGTCTCTGTCTCTCCCTCCCTCTTTCTGCCCACATGTCCCATCTTTCTCTGTGAACACTGAAGGAGAGAACTCTTTTAAAAGTTAATGAACGAGTTGCAGTGGAACCCTACTAGATTTTCCTTCCATTAAATGCCTGCTACAGACTTTTAATGGATGTTTTAACTAGGCATTGTTATCAAAAGGACTGTTGCACAAATTAAAACCAGGCCCACAATCTGTGAAGAGAAACCGGATTTACTTTTTGCCTTCAGGTAAAAAAGAAAAATGCATGGAGGAGGTGAACTCCACATTGATATTTTTAGAAGTTGGATGTGAGAAGTAGCCAGTGCCACCTGAAGCTATGGAAACAAACAGGAGCTTGGACTCTGCAGGCATACCTCTTTTTAAAGTGAAGACATTTACAGGAAGCCCTGGATTTTTAAGGGTATGTCAGTGTTAATTTTTAACTATTTAATTGGTATTTAAATTATCTTCTTAGTTTGTACGATGCTGCTGTGCGCGTCCCATTTTTAAACCTATGAAGCTCTCTTAAAAGGAGAAGGTCAGGCTTTCCAGGTGCCCGCCGCCCCAGACGTGGGCTGTCTCCGTGCAATCACTGCAAGCATGCAGAATTTTTATAACTGCCAGATTTTTGGTTTCTCGTTTTGTTCTGATTGATTTTATTTTAGCACATGTACCCCTTTGTCCCTATAAAATTTGCTTAGTCAAATGACAGATTTTGTGTTTCACATCCGGGAAGTCGTTGTCTTATCCCGGCAGGTCCTGGAGTCTTCTATTTCTCCAGCCACAGTTTTACGATAAAGTCACTGTCAGTTTCTATCGTAAATTATTCGTAATCATGGTGCTTAACAAAGTTGCCAAGTTCTCAGTGGATGCCCACTGTGTGTACCGTAACAGAAAAAAAGTTGTGTTTTCTTGCATTAAGTGTCATTCTGATTAGTCTTAGTGTTAAATCTTGGTTAGCACTTGGCTCTGACTTCTACAAATACAATGCTCTGAATCAAATAAGTGCCAGGGGAGCGGGCTTCCCCTCTTCCCCAACAATCACGACCTCACCGCCCTTCCAGGCACGTCACCAGCACCGAAGTGCCTTTACCTTAGCAGCGTGCATTCAGCCAAGACCTGCGCTTCACGTTTTGCTTCTCGAAAGCCGACATTTTGAAAAGAAAGTCAAACACAGAGCATTTGTTAGTTGGGCAGTTCCTACGAAAGACCAGCTCCCGTTCTTTGGAAGGAAATTGGCCAGATGCATGCACTGTTCAGGGCTTGTCTTAGTGCTAAAATGTAGCTAACGTGTATGGCAAAGGTGAGGAAGTGCTGTGAGCTTCATGGTGGAGAGCGTCCCTTCTCATCTCAGGGCAGTGGGGGTGACGATGGGGGCCCTGGCTCTCTGTTTAACCCCTGTTGGGGTGTTTTTGGTTTCTGGTTTGTGTGTGTGAGAGAGAGAGAGAGAGAGAGAGAGAGAGAGGGGAGAGAAGCCATATCCCTATATCAGGTCCATCAAAAACGCACCCCAATGCAGAACTCTTGATCCGTTGATTGCCTGCAAGCTCAGAGCACACAGTGATAACTGAAATCTCTGAGAGTAGATTTAATTTTATGAGCTGCATTATCCAAGAATACTAAGCCGTGGAGATCATGCTCAAGTCATGGGGTTTAAAGGGGTGATGGCTTCAGTTCTCTGTGTGGGGGAAGAAAGCCTGTGGCCTTTTTTTCTTTTTAGGCACAAAGCTAGTTTAATTGAAAGAATAATTTGATTTGCTGCTGCTACAGCAGAAGAGCTTGAGATGTGGCAAATTTTCTCTCCTTTCACCCAAACTCAAGAATTTAATGCTAGCAGGTGAACTTCTGAAGGCTGCTATCAAGTATACAGAGACAATAACTGTCTTAAAAGCAGAATTTTGTCAATATTTTTTGCTGTGGGCCAAAGAACATTCACAATAATGGAGTACTAAAGCCCTGCTTGAAAATGTTGTAGAGGGAGCGGGAGTGGAGGATTTATTCCAAGTTTGAGCCTGCAGTGTTTTGGTGGTATATATGATTTCTGAATAATCTTTTTGCTCTAGCAAATGGAGGCACCCAGATATAATTTGCTGTTCAGGAAGAGCATTTGGTAGACATTGCTACCCAGGGCCACTGAACTGGAGGTGCCGTAGCCTATAGTTTCTTTTCAGTCGCCGCATCAACCCACCATCGACTGTACACCTTCACTAAATGCCAGTGTTTTCTGACAGATGAAATGGGAGGTGGAATGGCCAGGAGCGGGCCATGGGGTCAGGGCTGAGGCGGTGGGCCTGCTGCTGGGGGAGGTACTCCATAGGGCCACCGCTCCTGGCAGGGGGTGCTGTGCCTCTTCCCACAGTGAGTGGAGTCCCTTTGCCCTTGGTTTTAAACATGCCATTTCACCATGCTTTTGTAGAAAGTTGGTTAAACAGCAAATTGCACAACCCACAAAATGTAATGGCCTTTATGACTTAAAACAGATGCTAGATTCAGTTGCGTGAATTGCCTTGCCCCTTAAGTTATCTTACTTTGAAAAGAATGATTCCCTGAAATTTCATTTTGGAAAACGTTGTTTCCCTCATTCTGCTTATGAGAACTGGTGCCTACATTTTTAATGCTGTTTCAGTAAAGTGATTTTCTGATATAGACAGAGGTGAAGCCATTTTTGTAATTTTTCCAGTGTTCTCCGTATTTGGTAGAATTAGAAGGGAGAGACGGAGGAGCAGTCACACACACATATGTGAGCGCACACACACCTACAGCAGAGAAGCACAGCTTTGTCCTTCTTTTGAAGTGTGAAAAATATCAGTGACCTTATCATTAAATGTACTTGTTGCTGTATTTATTTGAAATGTTCAGACTTTTTTTTTTTTTCTTCCTGTTCATTTTAGTGGAAAAGGATGATAGCAAAAGATTTTATTTATTCAGAACCACAGTGCAGGCAAAGTGAAAGTAAATCCTAGGCTTCCGGTGCATTCAGAAACCACAGTAAGAAAGCACTGTTTTCTCAAATATAAAGATGAGCGCACTAGCCAAATAATTTTTTGAGGAGTTTTGGAACAATAGAAGCCATCTAGAACTATTATTTGAGGCTATGTATGAAAAATATATGTGAGCTTACAAAAATGTTTCTCATACTGGAAACTATGTATCCATCAGACAGACAAGACTTTCCTCATGTTTGTGGACGGTGATAGCAGTTTAGCTCTGTGATAATATCAGTGGCCTCAATAATTGTATTCTACTTCAAGTGTAAGGCTCTTATTTTGGTGCGACTTAATAATTTTGTTCTTACTGAAGACTTTTTCCCTTCAGAAATACCATGTGATGAAGTTGCCTGTAGAAGGTGATAGAATTGTATTCACCCTCAGGTTCGTCTGGAAAGTCAGATTGTGGCCCACATGTTTTCTTCACGCTCACCTTTGTGTGTATTTCAGGCATTACCTTGTGATTGTTTAGATACTCTTTTATCATTATACATAATCCAAGGGTTATTTATCATAAAATAGATTGAGTAATGCTGAACTCACAAATATGGGGCTGAAAATGTAAACACATTTTTGTAAATCCAGTTGACAGTTAATTAGCCAACATTAATGGAGGGTTGAAGTGAAAGAAAATAGAAAACCACAAATTTCTAAAAGAAATTTTTTCCCTCATTTGGAATCCATTTTATACGTTTATTGGAAGCTAACGTTTCAGTTAACTATGACATATAGATATACGTTTACTTGCCTAATTATACTTACTGTTAACAATACATCATGTGTTTGCCTATGCGTCCAGCTTTGCCAGTGTGATGGTTTAATTACCCTCTGTGGTGTCTGCACGCTCTGCTAAGTCTTGTGTGGAGGAACGGTTAGAAATAGCCGCAGAGGCAAGGATTCAGAAGCCGGTGTGCTGTGAAGTCATAGGGTCACCCACCAGCAGCAGTGCCAGGCAAGCCCCCTCCACGTGGGAGGAGGCCCAGGTGCCTGCTTCCTAACGTGGGTCCCGAGCCGGGCACTCTGGAGTGGAGAGGCCTGGATGGGAGCCCCAGATCCGGGCCACCATGGTCCCTGGGCTCCTGGGGGGAAAGCTGGGTCCTGCACCGCCCTCCTGCCCACCTGGGGCTCCGAGCTCCAGGCCCTGGCTGCTCTCTGTCCCTTGCTCCTGCGGCCACCCAGGTCCCACCTGCTAGCCGGGCAGGCTGCTCAGACACGCATCCTTCCCAGTGGTCTCCCTGCAACTCCTCCCGCGGAGACCCTGGAGCCACACGGGTTGAGAGCCCTGGGCGCCTTGCCAGCCCCCGCGGGGTCCCGGGGAGAGGGTCATGCCCTGTGGCTCCGCATCGCTCTCACCCCTGTGGCAGGTGGGGGCAGCTGGCCTTCTCCCTGCCTCACCCCTGCAGTAGGTGGTGCCGCGTGCAGGGGGTGGGTGGGTGGGGGAACAGGTGACTTCCTCCTCCTCTAACTCCTGCAGTGGATGGGGGTGGAGTGGGGGGAAGGGTAGGTTACTTCCTTCTCATCTCACCCCTGAAGTAGGTAGGGCCGGGTGACTTCCTCACCATCTCACCCTTGTAGTAGGTGGGGGATGCATGACCTCCTCCCTACCTCACTCCTGCAGTAGCTAGGGGTGGGGGGATGACTTCCTCCTCCTCACCTCACCCCTGCAGTAGGTGGAGGGATGACTTCTTCCTCTTTGCCTCACTCCTGCAGTTGGTGGGAGGTGCATGACCTCCCCATCTCACCCCTGCAGTAGGTGGGGGGATGACTTCCTCCTCCTCACCTCACCCCTGTAGTAGGTGGGGGGATGACTTCCTCCTCCTCACCTCACCCCTGCAGTAGGTGGGGGGATGACTTCCTCCTCCTCACCTCACCCCTGCAGTAGGTGGGGTTATGACTTCCTCCTCCTCACCTCACCCCTGCAGTAGGTGGGGGGATGACTTCCTCCTCCTCACCTCACCCCTGTAGTAGGTGGGGGGTGACTTCCTCCTCCTTGCCTCACTCCTGCAGTTGGTGGGGGGTGCATGACCTCCCCATCTCACCCTGCAGTAGGTGGGAGGGTTGACTTCCTCCTCCTTGCCTCACCCCTCCAGTTGGTGGGGGGCGCATGACTTTCTGCCTCACTCCTGCAGTAGGTGGGGGGAAGGTGACTTCCTCCTTCTCGCCTCACCCCTGCAGTTGGTGGGGGACACATGACCTCTCCTGTGTAACCCCTGAAGTAGGTGGGGGGCACATGACTTCCGCCTCCCTATCTCACCCCTCCAGTAGGTGGGGGGGTGACCTCCCCGTCTCACCCCTGCTGTAGGTGAGAGGGGTGACCTGGCTGGCCCTGCCAGGCTGTTCCCTGTCCCCAGCCGCAAGGGTGCTCTCCCAGCCTCCATGCCCACACCCTCGCCCCACTTGCCTAGCCCCTGCAGGAGCTTCTCCCCGCAGTCTC